CCCCTTTTTCTTCGATTTAGTGAAGGTGAATGGTAGGTGACTATTCCATCACTGCCTACAGCCTGCTTCCCTTTGTGCTCCAGCTAGGCTGTAGTCTGACTCAGAGAAGCTGAATGCTGCAAAGGACATAAAACCATAAATACATTCACACCTTGATTAGAAGTATGAAATGTCCAGAAATTTTGAAGGCACAAAAAACGTGTTTTTCCTTTTTTCTCCAAAGGGGGGGGGGATTGACATTTGGGGGAAAAATAGAAATATATGCAATATTTTGCTATCAGATCTAAAGTTTACTGATTTAACAACATAAAATGCTTAATATAGCATAGGCAATTGTACAATCTGTCATTCTCATGAAATTTTAAAATATAAATACCTTTGTTTTGTATAAGAGAAATGGCAGGTATATTCAAAAAGAGCTGCAAACTGGTGCATCCTATGCTACTATACTTTTAATTTCTGCCATCTGAGGGGGGGGGGAATAAAAGTTGAAGGTAGAAAACAATTTATATTTGGACAAAAACTTTCTCAGAGTCACAGGGTAGGACTACCAGCATGTTTTGATATACAGCTAAACTTTATAACGTTGTAAACTCTTTGTAATCATAAAACACATTATAGCACATTGTTGTCATCTTTTAAAATGAAAAAAATAACCTTCAAAATGATGTAGATACCTTGATCCCCAAATTTCCCAATCTTTCCAGTGGAAAATCATCGGTAAAGTTGAGAAAGTCATTAGACTTCTCATACTGTACATCTGGAGTGAGTGAAATGCTTTGAAAGACAAAATAAAATATTCCAAAGGAGGTTTTTTCCCAGCGCACCCAAAAAATGTCCTGCTTTTCTGTTGTAAAAATTGAAAAAATTCTTAGACTTTTTGATGCTCGACATCTGAAAAACCTTACCATAAAAAGCATTTTGCTCATTCTGAAAGAGAATATAGGTGTGTGTGTTTTTTTTTTTTGGGGGGGTCAGTGCTTCCCCAATTTTCCAGTTTTCCCATTGGAAAAAATGGGGGGAAGTCCTCAGGAAAACACACGCACACAGGTTTTTTCCTAGGCCTTCACATCTCTAACCTTGACTGTGGATAAAGACTTTATGCAAGAACTGTGAATTACTAACATTTTCAAAGGCAGCGTGCACAATATATCTTGCAGGCATCACAATGAATATTGTCTTGGATAGCTACCTTTACAGACAAATAAACCATATTATTGATTTCTCTGGAAACTCTGCTGTTTGCTATGCCTTTCACTGTGGATGCAAGGACTGTGGAACTTAGCTTCTCGTGAAATATATTTGGCATTTTCTACAACTGTAAGGAATAAACCACTGGGAACTGTAATTATTTTTTTAAAGGAATGGTTCAAGTAGTCTGTAAATATGACTTTGTTTTTCATTAGCATCATCAAAATGTAATGCTAATATAAATTATTCGAATTGCATTTGAACAGATAGGTACTTTGAATCAAGTTTTAAATGTTTCAGGAGGCTGTATGTTGGACCTGTAATGAGTGAAATCATTGGACATGCTACTTGTTTTTACAAGGGTGTTTTGGGGTGTATATTTTTAGAGTAGCAGCTGGTACTAATTTGTTTTCCCTAAATCAAATGCTTGCAGGTGTCTACACCTCTGTCTGTTTTTTGAAAGGAAGATATGTCCATCATCTGCCTTTTCAACATTAAAACATAATTTGAAAACCATTATGTTTAGCCCTCTATATCAAAAAAGAGTATGAAGGGCTTTTGTGATTGCTTTAATGTGAAACTTTTAACAGGTGTGATATTCAGTGTTTTACTTTGGAAGGAATTAATTATTTGTCTGATTGATCCAAGCTACAGTGTGCCCAATAAGTGTTCCAGCTTTGAATGTTTCTGGGTGTATTAAAACAAAAGAGTGTGTTATGTCAGATTCCTAGAAAAGTTGGGACATACCTTTATTTCACAGCCCGATTAATTTTTCTCTATTAGAATAGCTACTACAGTAGTGATTATTATAGCACCAAAGGAAACCACAGTAGTATGTCTAGTAGGCATTGGGAAAGACTTTTGTCTAGAGTTGCAGCATGGAATTAATTCAAGACAGGGTGACAGCTGTAGGTGACAGTTTAGTGTTGCTGAATGAGTGCTGTAACCAGCATTTATCATTGACTTCAGACAGGATTAAGCATTTTGAGGTGATTGCTGTGTGCAGCCTGAGGGAGGGTTATTTCTATGACAGATCAAGTTGTCATGGTGAGGAGAAATGCTGGGAGTGCATGAGGTATTTTTGAATTAAAAAGGAGACTAAAATCAGTGAGAAGAAAACTGGCAAACCAATTTTCCTTGCAGAATATTCCATATTGATCATAAAACATAATTTCATTTGACTGGTGAAGAAAATTTTCCTTATCAGTCAACGGTCATTTAAAGATTTTTGCGGTGCCTACAGTTTTGCATCTGTGATTTGTAGGCTTGCTTCTGTTTTGGTTTTCCAGCACTTGGTTTCCTGAATAGTTTCAAGTATAACTGTTTTGGCCAGGTTATCATAAACCAGCCTGCCTTAATCAACCCTTACTTGGTAACTGAGGCTTTCTCTTTTGGCCATCAAGTCACAGCTGATTTATGGTGACCCCATAGGGTTTTCAAGGCAAGACAGAGACATTCAGAGGTGATTTGCCATTCCTGCCTCTGCATCACAACCCTGGTATTGCTTAGAGGTCTCCCATCCAAATATTATCCAACCCTGCTTAGCTTCTGAGATCTGACAAGATCAGGCTAACCTGGGCTATCCAAGTCAAGTCAAGGCTATCTTAAAAGTATGGAATATGCAGTCATCTCTAAATGAAAAGTATGGAGGAAATCTTGGAAATATAAATCATGATGTGTTTCTGGAATGCAGCCACTCTGTGTGTTGCTATCAAGAGTTGCAGTTTTTGCAAATTCCTGCCTTCAGTTATTTCAGCCTAATTTGTGACAACAGGAAATGAGTTAGTTTTGCTTTGTCAAACAAAAGGGAAGGGGACAGGTATGGAAACAAGTTTCCCTCCCAATAATTTCAGGAAGCAAATAGAGCATGCATGTAAAACCTATTAAGTCCTGTAACAAATTACATCTTTTCGTCTTTCACTAGGAGCTTTCTAGTCCTTACAGCTAACCAGCCAAATTTGGCAAGTTTAGCTGTAACCTTGGGGCACCTACTTTCTAGGAGGTTCTTCAGCAGTTGCATCTTTTGTAGTCTAGTAGCCATTGATGGACCTCTCCTAGATGAATCTGTCTAACCCCCTTTGAAAGTTATCTGTGTTTGTGGCCATCACTACCCCCATCACCAGTGAGTTCCAGTTTAATTACTCATCAAGTAAAGAAGTCTTTCATTTTGTCTACCTTGAACTACTTCCCAACAATTTCATTGGGTGCCCCAAGATTGTAATATTGGGGGGGGATGGTTTCCTCTATCCATTTTCTAGTGCATAATTTTATAAACCTCTGTCACATCTCCACGTAGCTGTCTTTTTCTGCACAGAAAATTCCCAGACTCACCAGCCCTTCCTCATAGGAAAGGTTCTCCAACCCCATAATCACATTGGTTTCCCTTTTCTGGAGCTTTTTCTAACTTAACAATGTCCTTTTTGAGATACAGCAGCCAGAGCTGCACACAGTACTTCAAACAAGGCTGCACCATAGCTTTATGCAAAGGCATTAAAATGTTAGCTGCTCCCCCCCCCCTTCACTCTCCTAATAATTCCTACCTTGCCCTTTTCACTGCTGCTGCACACTGGGTTGACATTTTCACCTAGCTTTCCACTACAGCCCCAAGATCTTTCGGTCTTAGCCAGTTCAGACTCCACCAGTATATACTTAATAAGGATTTGTTGTTCCAACATGCATCAGCTTACCCACATTGTTGCCCAGAAATCCTACTGCAGCTCTTCACAATCCATCTTGGTTTTCACCATCTTGTATAATTTAGTATCATCTGCAAACTTGGCCACTACATTGCTCACCTCAATTCCAAATCATTTATGTGCAAATTAAATAGCACTGCAAGAACTGTCCATTTATTCCTGTTTGCTTTTACTCTGTTAAATCTTGGGATATTGTAAAGGTGTACTTCTTTTTGTATGACTGGTCTAAGGACTGTAGAAATAAATTGATTGATTTATTGATACTCTGTTAGAGCTTTTACTTCATTAGAGGACCCTTCCTCTTATCCCATGTCTGTTAAGCTTACTCAGGAATCTTTAATGAGGTACATGGTGTCTGCTGGATTGCCCTTATCCACATGCTTGTTAATCTGCTCGAAGGGCTCCAAAAGATCGTTGAGGCAAGATTCTCTTTGCAGAAACCATGCTGATTTTCCTTCAGTGGACTTTGTTTCTCAATGTGCTTAATAGTTCTCTCTTTATAGAAGGAAGAGCAGAGATTGAAGAGACTTCTGAGGCTCTGATTTTGGGTGCTTATAGTAGTGGTAGGGACAATATATGGATCAGTGGGATGAGTAGAAATTTCATGGCAGGTGACGTCATCAGTATGTTTGCCCAATTCTGAATGGCCAAACTTCAGGGTTCTCAAATGGTTTTTCTTAGGTGCTTCAGGTCAAGCAAAGAGTGGTTTATGCCTCACCAAGTAGAACAGACAAAAGAACAGTGGCTTCTCTGCTACCTTCAGCTCCCATTCTGGTTATGAAAAGAAGTGGAGTGATGAGATGAGGCAGCATGGAGTCACAGGGGATAGCCATGATTTTCTTTTAAAATATGCTGTCCTAACCCACATACTTAAACCTGGCCATCACAAATCAGTTCAGATAAACAGGTGTGAAGGCACTTACAGGAGCAGGGCTTTTGCAGGCCTCCAGGAGAAGAGAATTCTAGTTACATGGTTGAATTTTGGAAACTGCAGTGAAATGCATGAAGAGTTATGCCAGGATAAGGCTCTGGCAGGTCTTCCAGAAAGTATGCAGTGCTAAAATTATGTATTTATTTATTTTAGTTATAACTGTGTTTAAATATTATTTACAGTTGCTACAGCCCAAGCATTAGCTGAAGAAAGAAGAAACCAAAGTAGTGTTAGTCCTGTTCCAGTCCCATCCTCAATAACCATAAAAACAGCAACCAAACCAGGTAAAATCTCTGCTTGTGGTATTATTGTGCACTATTAATGTGATCTTTTTTGGTAGTTCTTTGCATCTGTCCAATCGTGAATTCTTTCATTATTCACCTTCTAGAATTATGAAGGGCAGTCCAGCGTAGATACTGTGGGCCAGTTCAAATGTAATACTGAACCAGGCATTGCACGAAAGAGCTTTAGACTCATAGACTCACCCCATGCACTTTCTCCTCAATCATGGTGATTCCTTCCTGCTTGCAATGCAAGATACAGTTTGTTCGTTGATTAATATTAGTTTGGTATAATGGCAAAGATCCAAGAAATCAAAGGGAAATTTAAAGTACGGTTAGGCATGCTGAAAGATCAACATGGAAATATGTTAACTGAACAGGACAAAATAAAGAAAAGATGGGAACAATAAACTGAATGACTGTACAGAAAAGATTAAAGGATGATAGATTTCTTCAAAGAAGAATCTTTTGAAGAAGAACCTACAGTTTTAAAAAGTAAAGTGAAAGTTGCATGGAAAGCAATTCAGAGAAGAGAGCAATTAGGAGAAACAAATCTTCAGGAGTAGATGGGATATCAATGGAGCCATTTCAAGCCACAGAAACAGAGTCCATCAAGATCTTAACAACAGTATGCCCCAAAGTATGGAAAACAGAACATTGGCCCACAGACTGGAAACACTCAGTCTAACTTCCAGTTCCAAAAAAGGAAGATGTCAAAGGCTGCAGCAACTATCAGACTATTGCATTAATTTCTCATGCAAGTAAAGTGATATTCAAAATCTTACAACAAAGACTGTTACCATATATGAAACGAAAAATGCCAGAGTTTCAAGCTGGATTCAGAAAAAGAAGAGGCTCTAGAGATCATATTGCAAATTTATATTGGTTAGGAGCATACAAGAGAATTTCAGAAGAAAATCAGCTTGTGTTTCAATTACATAGATTAGGCCTTTCCATTGTATAACAAATTGTTGCAAGTGTGTATGGACCATAGTTTTTGGAAAGAATTTGTGGAAACTGATTATTTGGTTTCTCTGAAATCTCAGATTTGTAAAAGATTGAATTTTCCATCTTTTGCAGTGATAGATGGCTCCATCTTGAGATAGGAAGAGAGGCAAAGACTAGCCAGGGAGCGTAGAGAAGAACGAGAGAAGCAGCATGGTATGGTTATATTTACTGATATTAAAGAAAGATTAATGGTTGTGGTACAAGGCGATGCCAGTTTTGTGCCCTGTTATGTGTATGTGTGGGAGCCATCTGGCAACAACAGTTGAATGCAGACTATAAAGTAAAAAGACATGTTTCTGGCAATTACCAAGACACAGAAAAATCTTTAAAACTTGGAGGAAGTATGGTATTAAAGGCTTATTGGTGAAGACAAACATTAAAAACTTTGCCATCAAACTTTAAGACATTGATAGTCAGTGACTCAGGAGCCACATGTGGCTTTGTAACAGGCTACCTGTGCCTCTTCTGAGGACTGTTCCTCAGTGTGACATCCACCCCATGTTCCAGGAAACTGGGCAAGGCCATTGTCTAGTGAGGCCTGTGATTAGCAGGTGGTTCCCAGCTTGAAACAGCCACTGCCACCTGAGGAACTGGAGGATGAATAAGATAAGATCCCCCTTGAGATGTGGGTTTAGCACCAAGGATTAGAATTGAAGGGCCTATCCACACACCCCACACACACTACTTTACACTGTGCACTCTCATCCCAGCACCTGGGCAGCTCCTAGGGCAAGCTGGCCACAATGGGATGGTGGTGGGTTTGCTCCTCTTTCTCCTCTTACTCTCCTCTGTAGTCCCGTAAAAGGTGCACAAATTCGACAGTGGTAGGGGGAGATAGCCCTATATGTTCAGAGTTACTCTGGTAATTTAAAAGGTTATCGTTACATAGTTAATATGTTACATTTTGCATGAGTGTTCGGATGATTCACAGGACACACAGTAGTTGTGTCACTCTTTTGGTTGATGATGGCAAATTTAGCTGTCTATAAGCTGTAGAATACCAGTGCTTTAGGGTATTTGTTGTGCCTGTGACATATCTCTACACAAAGTCAGCATGCATAAAGGGGTGGGTGGGAACAGGCCTGCAAACCCTGCCCCCTCTTACCTGCATTCCTTCAGATATAGGAGGGGAAGGAACCTAACATGCTCATTTGTGAGAGGGTGTGTGGGTTTGTTCCTGTTCCCTCTTGTGCACAGTCGCCATCTTCATTGATATGTTGTGCGCACAGGTCTTCTGTGTTCACCTTAGCCAGCAACATTGAATGTAAGAGGGTCTTTGAACAGCTGTAAGATTTCAGTTCCCTCATGCAGCATTCTGTCTGGGGCTGGCAGGTGCAAACTTTCAGAGTTCAGCAACATATTTTGCAGGCTGTGTTCATTAAATCCTTCTGTCATTATCTAAATGAAGCTTGGTTAAACAGTACACCAACACATTCCCAAGAATGCCATTGTGAAATTAGCAGCAAACAAGCTATTTTCTGTTCACAGCACAGGTCAAAAAGCATTTGGTTACTCTTAAGTAGGAAAAAATGTTAAGCACCTCTTGAGCTTTCTGATTTCAGGTTTGTGGTCTCTCCCTCTGATTACATAGCAGGCAGTATGGGAGATGGCACTAGTATAGCATAAAGCTGAACATGAAGCAAACGGACATAAGGAACCTGGGCTACTTGTGCAGTCATAGCTAGGCCAGGTCTCGACACCTGGTATGCAAGGCTTGACTGCTCAAACCATGAGCACACTGGAGAGGCAAACAGGTGACTGCATTACTTCTCTGTTAGCAGCTGGATGATGAAATTCTGTGTTAGAATGCCAAAGTACTTCGTATGGGAGCTGCTTCACCATCACTTGAGCCCCACTGACTTATTTGTTACTTATTTCTGAGCTTCTAACAGTGTTCCAGGAAAACAGTCTAGAAATGTTTAAAATACATAGTTTAAAATGTGTCTGACACTCTCAAGACCTTGCTTCTCAGCAAAGCAGTGAGTGAAATTTTCTTTTGAAGGGAAAACCTTACTCTTTCCTGTGCTCTGGGACCAGAACACTATTGTGAGAGTTGCAATGGAAAGTCTCACAAAGCTGCTTCAAACATATCTGGTGTGCTTCTTCCATCTCCCTACAACTTGACTTGCAAGTTAGATTAGAGCCCTGATTGAAGGATCATACACAAGAGGGGCACATTGGCATGCCCTAAGACACTTGGTTTTTCTCCCTTTCTGGGTTCTTTTGGGGGAAGGACCCTCAAGCAAATGTTGAGAAATGGGCAGGCGAGATAATGGCTGTGCAAAGCATTGTAGGCTGTTATTGAAGCTACATGGTCTTAAGGTCTACCGACAGGGCTATTTTGAGGCAGGAAAAAAAACACAGGAATGGAGTTCCAGCTGGCTTCAGAGTTGGCCACACCCACTACAGCTAAAACCTCTGCATACATGGCTACACAGGGAAGGCCTGGAGAGCAAACCCCCCCCCCCTTGACGACTCTGAGGTGGGCAGGCCAGGGGGGGCCTGGAAAGATCGGGGAGGCATTTAAATGCCTTCCTGTGCCTTCCCTTCAAGGGGACCTTGCCCAGGCTCCCTGCAGCCGCGGGGCACCTAAAAAAGCCAAGGAAAGGCATGGGTTGTGGCCTAATATGCTAATGAGCAGTGCTGTCGGGGTGTGGCCTAATATGCTAATGAGTTTCTGCTGTTGCATGTGGCCTATTATGCTAATGAGTTCTTGCTGGGCTTTTTCTATCAAAAAAGCCCTGTCTACTGAGATATATAAAATCTGGTCTACTAACAGTGCAATCCTATGCAGAGTTGCACCAGTCTAAGTCCACTGAAATCAGTGTGTTTAGACTAGAGTAACTCTGCATAAGGTTCTGCTGTAAGAAATGTAAAATCTATCTGTTGTGAGCTCTTGAGATGTGCAAAAGTCAACATAATAGACTTCTCACTTGTGTGACAACTGTAATGTTTAGGGATACTTAATACTTCTGTTATGTTGTTGAAATATGCAGCTGCCAAAGAATCACAAATACTTGAAAAAGAGAAGAAAGCAAAGCTCCAATATGAAAAGCAAATAGAAGAGAAACAGCGAAAATTGAAAGAGCAGAAGCTGAAAGAGCAACAAAGAAGAGCAGCAGTAGAAGAAAAAAGAAAGCAAAAGATTGAGGAAGAGAAGGTACAGTGCAATTCGTTTCCCAGTTAAGGTTCAGAGCTTCTGCCTTTCCAACACTAATAATATTTAATCATTCATTGTGTTGCTTTGTCTTGCTTTGAAGCTGCCACATTTTAGAAATGGTAATCTCTTTTTTTCTGTCTGGACTGCTCTGTTTTGAACAATGTGATAAGACTCTGCAGCTTCATAGTCTTCATTTTCTGGAATACTGAGCTCTGTACACTCCCATTTCTGCTTCCTCCACTGGCATTTTCTCCTGAATGGATAGTTCTCTGGCTCTTCCATTTAAGTCCTTAGAGATTTGTTATGCTACGCCTTGTCCTTCTCACTACAGTTTTCATGAGTCCCTTGTTATATACTCTGCACTTGTATGTGTTTCATCCTACTTAGCTTATCTTGTTGTTTGTGCAGCTTTCAAGTTAAGCAAGTAAGATATATTCTTCTCTTGCTTTCTTTCTTAATTGGTCCCTTTCCACTTGTGGGGTGTTAGGCTTTCACTGTCATAAATAATTGGATCCCAAATGTGTTCAGTTAGTGAACAAACCATCTGAGGACTTACACTCTTAGAAAATTAGCATTATCTTCTTCTGTTAGATGACCACATATTCCCTTTTACACTAAGTTTCCTTATAGAGAATAGTTTAATGTACAGGAATGCACTGTTCTGAAATGTTTCCTCTGATATAAAAGGTGTATATTACAAGTAGGTTAGAGAAATCAGTCAGGGGCCACATTCAGGCTACTGAGATCCTTCTATGCCATACTCAAACTGGAAAAGGGCCCTTATGCCTTAACTTGGATAGCCCAGACAAGCCTTGTCAGATTTTGGAAGCTAAGCAGGGCCAACTCTGGCAAGTAATTGGAAGGGCGACCTCCAAGGAATACCAGAGGTGGGACACAGAGGCAGGCTAATCAAGCCACCTCTCTAAAACATGCCCAAGCCCCCAGTAGGGGTCACGAGAACTTCCAGGCAAGCACACAAATACACACACAAAATAGATTAAAAATTTTTAAAGGTGCCCTTATGCTACCATAAAAATGTGTAACAAAGAATTTGGAATCATGTAAAGATATGGGCATATTGTAACATATCGCATCTGGCTGTTCTTCCTACAGCTCACAGGAGGTCAGTTTTGCTATTACATAAAATCAGTTCAAAACTTTGCTTGGTAATTTTGAGTATTTTGTAACTATGTCCATGCCAGCAATACCACCCCAAATCCTTGTTTGGAGAAGATGTGCCACTATGTGTTACCACTGCAAGAAGCAGGAGTGAGTTTGCTAATCCATCAGGCCTCCAAGCTGCAAAATAACCAACAAGTACAAATTAAAGCTGATACAATTTATTAAGTAGATTCTTACTAATCAATGTCTGCAGTTTGCAGGTGTTGTCTTTTGAATTCTAATTAGCGTTACAATGTAAAAACAGGCCTATTGTTAATAGTAAGCTCCTCAGGGAAGAAATTCTCCACTTATCTTCCACAGAACAATGTATTTAGTAGCAGTCAAAGCTATTGCAGCCTAACTCCAGAGATTGTTTGATTAACAGGAGCATTATGAAGCAGTGGTGCATCGTACTTTGGAGCGGAGCCACAGATTGGAAACCAGACAGAAGAGATGGTCTTGGGGTGGCTCTGTAACAGATATTGATGGCAAGACAGGTAGGTAGCGTGCAGAAAAATAACACATAATATAGGGTATAAATATGCAAAATAGTTTACATTTATGGGTTAAAATAGCCATTTCTGGAGATAAAGCATAGATTTTCAGTGAACATTTTCTTGATGTCTAAAGATGTGTGGACAAGGGGAATCAGAATCGATGCTGAAGGCAGATCTGAACCAACCCAGACATTAATTCAGTGATGCATTAAATTGTTCTTGGACTCCAAGTGAAGGTTGATGCCTAATTCTTTCATCACGGAAGGGGAGCTATGCTTTTGATATATGAAGTTTCCATCTCCTTTTCTCAAAAATAGGCATGTGATTTGGAACCCGTTAATAAAGATAGAATTGTACTATGTCCTAGGTTTCATACTTAGAACATTATTAGGATGACACAATGCTTGTCGTTTCTCCTTGTAGCATCTCTGAAATGATTAGGCTAGGAGTAAGGGAGGAGTTTCAAGAATTAAGTTCTCAGGAAGCATTAATCTCTTGCATTCACAGCTTTAATATTGGAGAAATAAACTTCTAGCTTAAATTTCTTGCTGATTCAGTACCTTTGAAAGCATAAAAGTTTTGGTATTGGAAAGTCAGAGGTATCTGAACAAATAGTGTTATCACTGAAAAAATTACTGTGCAGATACTTGATGGCAGACATGTATTTTTAATATCAGTTATTAAAACCCTTAGATGAACAAAAATATATTTTACTAAACTGGCATGAGGGTCAAGTTGCTGATGATGTTAGGTAGTTGTTTATGTATATTTTATTGTATTTTAGTGTATTGACTGTTTTATTGCTTTTAATGTTGTTCGCCACCTTGAGCCGGTTCCAGGCAAGGCGGGATATAAATTGAAAATAATAAATTAATTAATAAATAAGTTAGATCCCAAGGAAAAAAAATAAAAAATGTGGGATTCCATTGAGAATCTGCAACGAAATAGAATCTAAATATATTTTGGCACTACAGGATAGAGCAACAATAAAGAAACTGGGGAGAACATATAAGAAAATGAGGAAAATAAAATGTCTGTTTCCCCTATATGCAGGTCTGCTTTCCCCTTTAGTACAACTAACGGTAAAAATGACCTCAAGACTGTCATTGCATATACTGTCTCGGGGTGGGGCATGAGACACACTACAAGACAATTGACTTTGTTAAAGCCAAAGAATACATGGGAATATGGATTTGGAAGATCAGAAGGGCATTTTTTTTCATTTTTTCTTGTTTCCTTGAAGATCTATTAATCTTCAGTTACTGCATTTATTATTGTGTTAATTTTTTTCTCTTGAATTTTCCTGTACCTGTTTTATCATTATGATTTTAGTCTATAAACTTCCTTCCACAGAGTCACCAGCTGCATCTGAAGGTGGGTCCAGTGATATTGACTTGCCTGCCTGCTCACTCTTATTTTAACTAACCAGTTGCATTGGCATTCTTATTTTACTGGCTGGATTTAAGCAGTGTTGCCCTTTGTGTTGAACTGCATTGCTTAGGTGCCTGGAGGTAATCTCTACAGAACCTCTCAGCCAGCTAATAGTTGCTTGTCTGTTATCTTTTTAAATCCTTGAGATCAGTGCAACCTTCTTGCTGCTTATTGTTTTCAATTTACTGAATGCAAACTTAGAGACAGCTTCTTGAACCCTAATCTGACATTTGGTACAATATGGATGTGGTGCAGCTGTGTCATAAAAACCTAATTGGCCCATCCTTGATTTATGTAGCCAGCCAGATCAGCCAAATCAACCCTGATGATCAGTGGGGTGACAGATGTCCTCTTGACCTGTCATGGCCCTTAATGCTGTAAAAACTGCAGATGCAGGCATCTTAACTATGTATAAGGATTCATAAACTTTTAGGGTGAAGAGAAATGGGAGAACAGTCCCTTTAGTGGTTTGGTGTTCCTATAACCTTTCAGAAAGGTATAATTCAAGCGTTGTTTACCCATGCCTTTTAGGCATTGGAGTCACTCAAGAGTGCATTCCTGTCTTCCAAAAGTAATGGGAAGAATTGTAAACACACCATGGAAATTCAGTATATGGAATATCCAGTTTTGGTGGGGAGGGAGTAGCTAAGCAATCTGGAGTGGGGGGATACCATTTTTACAACTCTGTCTCAATATCTAAGCAATATTTTAATGTGTTGTAAGCCATATTTTGCTTCAGCTGCTGTTTGATGTCCACAGAATGGGCATTCCAACTGGAGAATCTTGGCTAGCTGCATTTGTCCCTATATTCTGATACTGCCTACCTGCCATATCTGTGGTTCAGAGCTTCATAGATCTTGTGGCTTTTACTCTTCTGTTTGATTACAGCTCCCCTGTGTGCCTGGAATTCTCCTTAGCTAAAACTGTGATCAGTGATGCTGCTCTTTAGGCCAATCAGCAATTCCCAAGGTCCTAGAAAAGTCTAGTTAGAGCAGTATCCCAATTTTATCTGTTTCTTTATAACTCAACTGCTTTGCATTGTTAGGTAGTGTTGAGTCCTTGTTTAACAGACCTATTTTTGAGAGTTTCTAGACTGAAAATTACAATATCTTTTGTTGCATGAAATAGAGCAGCCACTGGGGAATACCGTTTCCCCTTGAAAGAAAAACTAAGGCTGTTTATAGCAAGCATTATAACATTTCCTTTTGGTAGCAATTTCAGTTACCTAAATTCTGGGAGTCACTTTTGCTAAGAATGCTGGCCTTTTCATGTATATTACAGTCAAGAGTTCTTACTTTTTGTATTGTAATGATGAATTGGAGGCTTGTCAAGGTGTGTGCTCACATATATAGTTATAGGCTCTTTACACATTGACAAGAAAACTAGTGTTGGTTATAGTCTTAGGCCAACTTCTGCTCTATTCCTTGTAGAAACAATTAGTTCCCCTGATTCTGCCTGTCCACATTAGCTTGCCTAATACAGAATCATCGAGGATGTTTTGTTTGTGCTGTCTATTGAAAGTGCTAAATGGATTGATTTAAACTATTTATATACTGCTTTTCTGTTGTACAGTCAAAACAGTAGTTTTA